AATATTTTATCAGTATTTTTTTTTTAATCAATTACTAGCCATTCCGAGTGAGCCCCTTTTTGAATTCCATGCGGAGCCACTTGGGGTCACGACCCCAAGGTTGACAAACCATGGTGTACTGTGTAACTCCATATTTACAGTGTCATGTGTTGTGGTAAAAAAACATAATATATCAAAAGATTGATTAAAAAAAACATCTAAATACAACTCTTCTTTATTGCGAAAAGTTTCGAAAAGTTTGTGATGCTAGTTTTACTGTAAGACGCTAAAAGTGTGGAGTTGAACTGACAGATCCTTCAGTTGACTCAGACTCATTTTGGATTTGTTTTTCATATCTCTCTTGAGGAAGTTTTTATGCACACACCAGTTCATAAAACAGAATATTCTACTCCCCCTCATGGGCTGGCAGGATATTGCGTCGCTAGTTCAGGAAATGCACCAACATTTCCTTTAATCATATTTTGTACGTGTAACAGAAGTTCCTGATAAAAAGCCATTGTAGACTACGCTGGTCGCCATCTTCTGGGGTGGTGAAGTATTGCAACGCTAAGTGGGAAGCAACACAAGGACAGGGCCACACAAGAGAACATTTTATCTTGTCTGCAGGATTAGGGGGAGGGTGTTTAAAAATGGTGTGTCGGTAAACGTGCAGTATTTGTAAGGGTCCAAGAATAGATCCTTGGGAAACACCACACATTTGACCTTAAAATAGGTCCAGTGTTGGGTTTTGATCAGAACCATGAAATATTAACATATATTTCATATATAAATAGTAAGATCTGTTTTGACAGTTTGAGCAACCACTATTTAGTCCTGTGGTACTTAGTCACGAGTCAGTCACGCGTGGACTTGCCTAAAATTGTTTTAATGTAATAAATACTCTGGGAAAAGACGTCCTAATTATGTGGTAAACATCGAACTTTAATACTGTGCCACAGACACACCCGGCAATACTTGAAATATTTTCTATTCTCATTTTGTTTACAGAGATGACACTGAATAATGAATAATATAAAATGATAAATCTCAGATATAAGGATGTTAGAAGGACGCTGTGAAGAATCACCAAGAAGTCGTCACTCAGTTCAGAACTGATTACTTTTAAGAGTTCTTTCTGCTCCAACTGCGATTTGGTACACATGCCTAACAAATGGGGCACGCCTTAGATAAACAGTTTCAGGGCCTGACTTTTGTGTGGGCCAACGCCAAAAACATTTATTAACCTGTCACGGGTTAATACTTTTCAGTCTCGCAAGGTGCCTGGAACCGATCCCTGCACCCAGTGGTTGAGGGTTTGGGAACAGACTCTGGAAAGTTCACCCTCACACTACAGGGCCACATTAAGATTAAGATTAAGATTAAGAAGTCCTTTTTGCGTCCCACAATGGGAGAATTGACAGATACGGCAGAACCAGAGCATTAACAGTTCCACTCGTACCTAGGGTT